TATGAAAATTAATTATGTAGGAACATAATATTGCTATAATTAATGCTGGTTTGCCGTGTATGGGACTTTTAACTAATAAAGGCCCACCAGTCTGGCATCCAAGTTCAGATAATATGAAGAAAATATGCGCGGAGGCTGTTGCTTGTTGCAAGGTACACGAGAATGTTTCATACTTGTCCAATTACTTCGACCTAAATTTAAAAATTTATATCGTGCAGGATCATAATGTAGAATTAGCTAAATTAGCAGTATGGTACTCTCTACAATGCGAAGATATTGCTACTTCTCTAGTGGGAATACAGAATTTAAAAGAATTGAACATAAATTTAGATGCAGTTAGAAATGGTATCTCGGAAAAGGAAAAGACTGTGCTTCAAGAAATTCGCAAAAAGTGAGTATGAAATGAACGATTACTAAGACAAAGATAAAACAGATCTTATAGTAAATAACATCCTGGAATAAAATTGTATGTGATGTTTTTGTTACTAATAGAAGNGTCTATAGTATACACTATCCGGTATTCAGTGAGGGATGCGCATCGTCTTAGACGCATTTCTACCTGCCACAGACTGTAAATATCACCATAAAAAAAAAAATCAAGTGGAGATAAGTCCGGGGAACGTGGTGGCCATCGTATTGATGCATACCTGCTGATAATGCGATCTTGAAATGTAGCATTAAGGTAATTTGTAACTTCTCGTGAATTATATGGTGGATAACCATCTTATTGATAGTACATTTCTCTTTTTATGTTGTTGGGAATATTCTCCATTAATTGCGGAAGTTCTTCACGCAAAAAATGTAAATATCTTTGTGATATTAAATTCTCTTTATAAAAATGTGGCCCAATTAGACGGTTGTTTAAAATACCACATCATACATTAACTGCTTTTAATGGAAAAAATGAGGATACGAGAATAACAATCAAAGAAAAATGTCAAGAAATTATTAAAATAAATTGTATTTGAATACTTATATATTTTTGTTTGATAGTTATGCTCCCGAGTGTTAAACGGGTTTTCTACTACCCTTTATTGTAGTGTATATTATACTTGTTTTATTCAATTTTAGATTTCCTTTAAACAATCCAGAATTAGTGGAGAGATGGATAGATGCTTTACAGTTAGGAAGTTATATTCCAAATAGCAAAAGTGTAGTTTGTACGAAACACTTTGCAAAAAATTGTTTTTACGCTGTTATCTACAATTAAAAAGAACTGCTGTACCATCCATATTGGAAACAACTGAGGGTATGATAATATGATATTACTATTTCAAGAAATACAATAATATAAAAGTATATTATGTATTTTTTTATGGTAATCAAATTTTTTCGTGTACAGATACGCAGGCACATTGTTCTGGGGAACATCTTTCATCCTCTTTGAGCCAGTGTAATGTAACGCCGAGAAGTGTAAAACAGAAAAAAAGTTTACGACATGACCATTCCTATGAAGTATCTCCAAAAAGTTTGCAGCGTAAGGTCTGTTATTTAACTACTACAGTTAAAAAGCTGCGAGTAGAATTGAATGTGCATAAACAACATATAAATCGTCTAAAAAAAAGATTACTAGCCTGAAAGACGTAATAAGTGCATTGCAATAGAAGACATAAGTGAATTGAACATATTGAAGTGAATCTCGCGCGAAATGTGAAAACGTACTACAACCAACATGATTGCCGGAGGGCTTCAATAGGAAACAAGAAATTGTACAGGAGAGTCTATAGTATACACTATCCGGTATTCAGTGAGGGATGCGCATCGTCTTAGACGCATTTCTACCTGCCACAGACTGTAAATATCACCATAAAAAAAAAAATCAAGTGGAGATAAGTCCGGGGAACGTGGTGGCCATCGTATTGATGCATACCTGCTGATAATGCGATCTTGAAATGTAGCATTAAGGTAATTTGTAACTTCTCGTGAATTATATGGTGGATAACCATCTTATTGATAGTACATTTCTCTTTTTATGTTGTTGGGAATATTCTCCATTAATTGCGGAAGTTCTTCACGCAAAAAATGTAAATATCTTTGTGATATTAAATTCTCTTTATAAAAATGTGGCCCAATTAGACGGTTGTTTAAAATACCACATCATACATTAACTGCTTTTAATGGAAAAAATGAGGATACGAGAATAACAATCAAAGAAAAATGTCAAGAAATTATTAAAATAAATTGTATTTGAATACTTATATATTTTTGTTTGATAGTTATGCTCCCGAGTGTTAAACGGGTTTTCTACTACCCAAGTGTGTTGATTGTGTCGGATAAAAATACCATTGTTTGTGATTTAGATTCATCAGTCCACATTAAATAATATTATGTTTTTTTAAATATTTGGTACTTCTTCAAACTTAGTAATGATCCATGCACTAAACTCTAGACGTCGTTCTGCGTCTGTAGCACCTAAATGTTGAACTGTAGTAAATTTAAAGGGAAGATACTTAAAATTACTCAAAATTTTATGAACACTTTTAACTGACATATCCATTTCTCTTGCAACAGTATGAATCGATGTATGTGGATTTTCATTAAAGTGAGAAAGTGTTATATAACCGCATTATCATCGTTATGGTGCAGAGTGGATGTGGAAAATTCTAGAAAAAAGGAAGAAAAACTAAGATAATATTTAAATACATATACAGGGTGTCCCAAAACTAGTGTAAGATATTGAAATGGGAGGTTCCTGACGTTATTTTGAACAACATTTTCTTTAGCGAAAAAATTGTCCGATGCATGGTTGAGGAGTTATTAACAAAAAACCCCGACCAATCCGCGCACCCGAGGGCTCGGTTGGCGCGAGCCCCGACTCGGGAGCGTTGGCTCGGATCCGGACGCCCGGCCTTTTGACGCATGAACAAGCGCTCCGCTCAATAAGAAGCGTTTTAAGAAAATGACGAATAATAAACTACATGAATAACAATGCAAGGAAATTAATAACAATTAACACATTTAATCATTATTCAAATGGAATGGATGGGGAAATGATAGATTGTTGATAGGCCGGGCATCGGGATTCGAGCCGGAGCTCGCGCCAACCGAGCGCTCTGATTGGTCGGGGTTTTTTGTTAAGAACTCCTCAACCACGCCACGGACAATTTTTTCGCTAAGGAAAATATAGTTTAAAATTAAGTCAAGAACCTCCCATTCCAATATCTGACACTAGTTCTGGGACACCTTGTATACATTGACACATAAACACTTGTAAGCCCCATTTGCAGGCCGAAAGACATGAAATAAATCTATTTAATACTATTAATGAGAGTTTCTTCGAAACGAGAATTCCTTCATAATTTCAAACTACTGAACATTCTTTATCCTAAAATATAATTCTTCACTTTGCTACATTACAAATATTACCTTCATTCAACTCTCGTAAGGTAGCGAAGAATCTAAAAAATACTTACGGTAAACTAACACAAATAAACATCTGTCGTGATCAGGGCTGCCAGAAAAGTGTATCCCATTGTATCCTATACCCCTCCACCAGCAACTTGGCTCAATTCCCCTCTCGCGATGTTCAGCAGAGAAAAACGTCGCGCTGTCTCCACTATGGCATCGCGAGAGGGGAATCGAGTCAAGTTGTTAGTGGAAGGGGTATGGGATATGATGGGATACACTTTTCTGGCAGCCCTGATTATCATTAATAATATCGTGGTCAAGTAATTACAGTTATAATTATAAATTAGCTTGTTCGTTGTGGAATGCATTTATTAATACAAACAAACACGCATAAGTAGAATAGAACTTCTTTATAAAAATTAATATCATAATGCAAACATTCATATTAAAAACATTTGCATTTCTTAAAATGCAGCGCACGAATATTTGATATAATATTTAAAACCGCGTCCTTCCAAAGGTTAGTAATAATTGACAAATTTTTATAATCTTAACTAATGAGCAATAAATATTTGTGACTACTTCTCTTTTCTTTATAACTTCTAGGACTAAAGAGGCTGCAGATTCCGTACAATTTAAAAAAAATTGAACGTACAGAAACACTGTATATAATTTATAAAAATCGAATATCAAAAGCTAAATATATATACCAGAGGTGGGGAACGTGCGGTCTCCTTGTACAGCTCCAAATGTTATTTATATTTTAATATATTCAATTATTTTCAAGCCAGAAATAATTGCAAATATCCCACTAACTTAAATTTTCCATCTGAAATTAAAATCATTTTTCTATTTTATTTCTTTAGAATGTAATGAATTTATTTGAAAACACTTTTACTCATGTTATTTTCATTTAAAGTCGTATTTGAATATGTAGTTGTATATTAACATTTAAAAATCTTGATGAATAAATATATGCCTAAACAAATAAAAATATCAACAATAAAATATAAAAAATTATAGCAACCTCCTTTATTATTGCCTAATCTAAATGTGGCCTCTAGTGTTAAAAAGGTTCCTTGCCTCTGGTATATACATTGCAATGCTTAATTTCTATATAAAAGCCACTCTTAACTTTTACTATAAATGTTTTATTAAAAATCCGCAGCCTATTAATACAAAAATAAAATCCTATGAACAATGGAAATTATTTATCTTCCCTTGCATTATTTTAATATCATCTTGAATCATAAAATAACTTACATCGACAAAAATCGAAGGCTAATATTAAGAAACGTAGCACATTTCGCTTCCAGTGATGTAAAACATGTATTTGTGTGGTTGCTTATAAAAGGAAGTAGTATATTTCGGTCGTCTGCTATGAGTACTTAAATACGTAAATGATTTTTTATGTACAATTCATTGAATTCTGAAGCAACATACATGCAGATAAATCGCGACGCGTTTACATAGAGACGGATTCTCTTCATAAACATAAGACCAAGCGTCTTATGTATTCTTGTTAATACCGTAAAAGACTGAGGAAACGTGGTTTGGAGGAGTTTCTATCTTCACATGCCAATAGAAAAATGAATAAACTTTCCTATTAACCCTTTGCACTCGAGGCCTTTTGCGCTGGGGCGAACCAGCAACTCAAGACGATTTCGGCTATATTAGAGAAGAACTGTAGGAGTACT